ATATATATATATATATATATATATATATATATATAAAATTTAGAATAGTTTGTACTTCATCACATGGAAAGTTGATCTTGTCGAAAGTTGATCTTGTCGAAAATACTCAAGCAGCACTCAAGACTGTTTTAAAAACAGAAATATGGGTAAAATTGGAATATAAGGAACACACCACATTCAAACACAATTCTGTACAAAGTAACCCTAATTAAAACTGTGATAAGACAAATTTGTATATTTTTTTCCTTGAATAACAATAATAAAAGGCTGGAGCAAATGTGCAGTTCAGCCGTGCCTTTGAAATTTCTCTGAACACAAGTTATGGAGAATTTTATTTCAAGTAACAGATGATAGCCACCATGTCTTTTCCCCCCAAAAACCCAGCAAATGTTAAGCTTGTAAAGAACCATGTTGGCAAATTTCATGTTTTATTTGACAAATTTTAAAAATATCACAAAACAAAAGTTAATATTTTTAGTTGGTGGCTAACTAAAAACAATATATATATATATGAAAACCACTCAAAAATTACAGAGCAACTAAAAACTAAACCATAATGTTAACCTATGGTCAAAAATGTTCTCAAGATCCAAAATAAAATAAAAAATATCCCCAGTAAATAGAAGCTGCAATACTATATGAAGTCTTCCCTCAAAGCACTTAAAAATCCTTGTTTGCTGAAACAATTTAATGTGTTGTAAGAACTGAATTTAGAAAGGAAAAACTGCTTTTACCTCTTTATTGACTATGCAGTTTTGATTTTGCTTATTGCTTTTGATTAATCAATAACCTTTGATTACATCTTATAGAAAGGATGAGTGTTTTTGTGCTTGCTTTATATTGTAAGTTCCAAGTTGCATGCTGTTTTCAAAGATTTTTCTTTTAAAAAAAAAAGACGCACGAAGTTAACTTGCGTGTACAGTATTTCTCTGGATTGTAACAAATTAAATTCCCTTAACTTTTTTGAGTTAGTTTGGCAACAGGACATTCTGAAACATTTCAGAATAGTCAAATATGGTTAAAAAAAAAAGTGACAACACAATCAGATGTTCAACACCATATTCAATTGCCATAATTAATAAGGCCTGAGACAAAAGAGTAGATTGTTAACTTCAAATTTACAAATGAGAAATGTCACTGAATTCAACAGAGCTTAGAATAATTATGCATAGGTTGCATTTCCTTTCGGTACTCTTATTTTTATAAAAAATTCAAGTCGGCAAACATACCTTATACTTCTTCCTCCTCTTATATTCCCCACAACAACCCAGTGAAGTGGGTTTGATTGATTGATTGATTGATTGATAGAGAGAAAGAGAGCCTTCCATACAACAGAACGGGTGATCCAAACATTGTATTCTATTTTATCTGATTTTCCATATGCTAGAGAATAGGTATCTCTCTGCATAATTGATTCTTACTTACAACCCCATAAATTCTGTCTGAAAGTATCTTGAGTCTATGCAGCTCCATTTCACAGCGTGTTCCCGACTGTCACCAATTAGCTATATAATTATCCTACCAGTGATGTGATATGGTAAACAAAAGCAGGACATGGAGGCGCTTGGTGTATTTCTTTACATTTACCATACCATACTGTTATCCAGCAGGGGGCAGCCTAGGATATAAAAGCTTACGTTTCAGTTTAACATTATCTTAAACATTTTGAACCTATAACAAAACCAGTGACCAACTCAACTTTGTAAGCTTTAGGTTTTTTTAACCTTTAAACAGGAATATCACACGTGAAAACTCATCAAATATTCATTTTATTTCCAGCTTTAATACTAATTCTTTGAATAGAAGTTATAATGCAATGGAAAGAGGCTGTTTCTAAAAATCGGTGCTGCACTGTTTAAAAAAAAGCACTTTCATAACCATTTTTTTTTAAAATAGTACATGAAAAAAGATCTCCACTTTTCTCAAAATTAAAATATTGGTATGCTAAGAAGCTTCCTTCTTAAGCCTTTGCAGTTAATTCAAATAATGAACCTGAACATGCCCAGACTTGATCAACAGGATTTAAAATTAAGGCTCCAAAATTATTACTCTTCCCTTTCGTTTGTGGAGATGGAGACGGCTATAAATACAGGGCTATTAAAAATCTCAAAATCAAGAGTAAATTGTATTCATGAATACATGGCAACGAAGCAATCTAGAATTAAAGGATCTTTCTTTTGAATATAACTTTATGTACAATGTTGAAGTTCTTAAGTATCTAAGAGCCAAGGTGGCGCAGTGGTTAAATGCAGCACTGCAGGCTACTGCTAGATCAGCAGGTCAGCGGTTCAAATCTCACCGGCTCAGGGTTGACTCAGCCTTCCATCCTTCCGAGGTGGGTAAAATGAGGACCCAGACTGTTGGGGGCAATATGCTGACTCTCTGTAAACCGCTTAGAGAGGCATGAAAGGCCTATGAAGCGGTATATAAGTCTACTGCTATAAGTTAAGATAATATAATCCTCCCAGTTAATTAAAATCTAACCTCCTTCCTAAAGAGGAATCTGGCTCTTGAGTGTATCATAAGCACTATTTTTGTTATATGGACTGAAGAAGTATACAGGCAGTCCTCGACTTACAACAGTTCATTTAGTGACCCTTCAAAGTTACAACAGGACTGAAAAAAGTGACTAATGACCATTTTTCAGAGTTACAACCTTTGTAGACTCCCCAGGATTATGTGATGAAAATTCAGATTCTTGGCAACTGGTTCATACTTATGACCATTGCTGTGTCTCAATCAGTGGTGGGTTTCAAAAATTGTTTGAACCTACTCTGTGGGTGTGGCCTCCTTTGTGGGAGTGGCTTGCCACCCATGTGACCGGATGGGAGTGGCTTGCCACCCATGTGACCAGATATGAAGACGCCGACGACACTTGTCAGAACCACCTTAAATTACCTCACACACAGCACTGGCATGCATAAGAATATGATGTAAACTTGTTTTTTAGAAGGCATCTTTGGTTTGCGTTAAAACAACTTCAACACACGCAATGTTCTGATTGCACCACAAACGCAGTAGTCATCCTTACCTTTCACAGAGGCACTGAGTTTTATAAATATGAGCATGATAGTGTAGAATAATCATATCCAAGGACCAGTGGTGGGTTTCAAAAATTTTTGGAACCTCTTCTGTAGGTGTGGCCTGCTTTCCGGGTCCACTGGTGGAACCTCTTCTAACCGGTTCGGTAGATTTGATGAACCGGTTCTACCGAATAGGTGCGAACTGGTAGGAACCCACCTCTGGTCTCATACTGGCATATTCTACATCAAAGACACCCCAAAACAGTGTATGTAATGTAGAAAGTTAGCACCCACCCCTCTCCGAGAAGAATGAAATATTCTAGAAAATATTAAAAAGGAAGAATATTTCCCTTAAAAGAGAAATAGAAATCTTAAGGGACACAGAAACTCCCAGCAGATATTTTGATGCCAGCTTATCTACAAGACAAGACAAGACAAAAGGCTGGGCCATCTTATCTACAAAAGACATTCAGCTCCAGGGTGATAGGGTTAACCCACACTCAAGATCCAAACCAGGACAAAGCCATTAAGCCATAATAGGAATTGCCTAACCCCAACCCTTTATTACATCACCCAGCAAGATTCAACGAAGCCTGGGACTCAAGACAACCTACAAAGTTATCCCTGCATGGCCCCATGGGAGCCTGACAACCAATCAGAATACATTTCTTTCACAGGAACAGGAAGCAAGTTCAAAGCCCAAGAGAGGATATAAATCAATCTCTCTCTCTTCCATGTGCTCAATTGCCCAGGACCTCAAACCACGCGGTTGTGTCCACCATTAAACCATTTTTCCAAATAGCCTCCCTGTTTTCAGTGTCTTTCTCCCCACTTGGAACTGAAGACAGATGGACATCTCTTCCAATAGTAGCATAATCAACATCGCATCTAACATTCATAAGCATTATCCTTTCATGAATTTGTCTTATATTTTTTAAGTTGTCAAACTTGGTGGCAGTACTATAGTAAGGGAATCTGTGACTTAACTAAGCACTGTGCCTGTTATAAATTTCCATTATCAACTTTAGTGGGTTATCTCGTATCTCTCACAGTAAGAAAAATAAAATGCAGTCTGAGTGTTATTAAAAAAACTCTGTATCTGCTTTATTAAACTATAATTGGCATTCATCTATTACAGTGTTTCTCAACCTTGGCAACTTGAAGATGTCCGGACTTCAACTCCCAGAATTCTGGGAGTTGAAGTCCGGACATCTTCAAGTTACCAAGGTTAAGAAACACTGATCTATTATCTTATTCATAATCCTTCTGATTTTTGTTACATGACTCAACCAGGTACACTGATACTACAATTCCCAGAATATGGCCAACATGACCCAAGACAGGAAATTTCAGGAAATGGCAGTTCCAAAACCTCACTCTAGTTGAGAAAAGGGTTCCTAGCTTTCTGACAATTTTAGTTCTGCCATTTAGAACCTTTTTCAAATCTGCAACATGTCTTTTGAGATGAAATCGCTGTTAAACGTGTTTCAGCAGTTAAAAAAAACACATATTGCAATGCCAGTTAATCGACATCAATACTAAATATCTTCCCAGTATACTTTTTGTATTGATTAATATTGCTGTGCATACTTTTTTAGAACCAAGTTCACTGATTGAAGAAATTGCTATTGAATAACAATACAGAGCACTTATATTTCAGCTTGTTGAAGTGAATTTGCACATTTCAGGGAATTTATGTAGATGAATTTTAAAATGCTAATGAATTCCACAGAGGGTGGGTTTGACACAACTTAATTTTAAAACAAAATAACAAGATCATTTTGTTTTGTAGAAAAGTTAAAAAGAATTGTAAATTATCACTGTTGTATACTGGTTTAGGTTTCCATCACTGGCATTGGCTGGATAGTGATGAGCTTCATTTTTTAATGACCAAGATCTAGAAAACAAGATTTCTTGACATTTCACCAGCAATTGTGTCTGGCATCATCAGAACGAAGAATGTAAGAAAATGAACAAGTTTGACTGGGCCCTTGTGTTTTTAATAGCCAGGTGTACTGACCTCTGATTGGCTTTTAGCTGAGCTAGTTTCTGATTGGTGCAGGTTGGTGTCCCTGCTTAGATGTCTAACAGATCTCTTTGCCTTTGAAGATACCACAATTGCTGGCAAAACATCAAGAAACCCGTTCTCTAGATCACAATCGTTAAACTCTGTAAACCAATCCTAGTGCAGTTTTACTCTACTATCATCATAAACTGGATAATTTAAAAAAAAATAGAGACCACTTGATTTTGAATTTACTTTGATCAAGGTGTTTTATTGCATCTCAGAGGGTATACATGCATTGGGTTTTTTCCTCAAACCAAAATACAAAGCAAATCCATTTGAAATTCTCTCTCTAACTCTCTGTTGTTACAGGTTATGTTATCCCCACAATATACAACCACTTTTTAAAAATGGTACCACATGTTGATTAAATATTAATTTGAAAGACTTAGATGAACATCTTTCCAACCTAATATGCTTTAACAAAGAACTGCCAAGCCACTTGTAACACTGATCAACAGTGACCTTATTAAGAAGTCAAAAATCTTAAGCTAAGCCATCAGCACACACAGTATGAGAGAACAAACTAAAACGATAAAAGAACACTTTTGTTTACGGTAAAGGGCATAATTCAGGTTCAGTGTGACCTCTAATCACAAACAGTACAGAAAATACATAAGTGCTGTGGGAGGATGAAAAACACTAATCTAAGATATGTACAGAGAAGAACAAAACTGACAGGTGTACATAAAAGCAAAAGGGGGGAAAAAATCATGATTTGCCCCTAGTAACAATGGGCAACTGAAATAGCCTGACAAATCTAAGAGAGTTTGCTTTTGTTATGTTTGATTTTTCTGAATTGTATGCCAAGAAACTTACCCTTTACTTGTTTTCAGTGCATTTTAAATATCAATGATAAATATGATGGTTTTTAAATGAAAATAGAAGACAAATGTTTTTTTTAAAGAAATCTGATAAAGTATTTTTATGTGGGGGATTTTTTTTTAACAACCTTTGTCAAGTAACTTGATAGGAGATTATTAATATGAATTTCATTCATATTAGTAGATAGAATGCCAGGAAATTAAAATGTACCCCACAACAAATTTGATAATAAATTCTTGCTTTGGAAAAAAAATATTACATTGCACACACTTTAAAAAAAAAAGGATCGACAGTGTTCTTCTTGCTACCTGATATAACCACAATATTGTTTTGTATAACAGATATGCAAAGGGAACTGGATTTGAAGAGAAAATTTAGGGGGTCGCCAAGGGTATTTACATTAAGACCTCCAGAAACACAGACACATCGCTCCAAATGGCTCACACCACACAACAGCTGCATAATCTGTTCCTAATGGATTGGTTCAGAAAAGCACTAAGAAGGCATCAGAAACATACATCCAATGTTTAAGTTGAGAAACACATAAATTATAACCCAAGTACACAAACAGAGAGAGAGAGAGAGAGAGAGAAGGGATAACAACTAAAATAGTACACATTCCTATGATCACTTTCACAGCTGTGCTACACGTTTTGGAAGTAGGAGAGAAGTCTTGAGTAAGCACTGGGTTTGGTACTGGTGGCTCACTTGGAAATTCTGAGCAACAAAATTCTTGTTTGCAGATTTCAAATTTGCATCTTCACTTATCCTTTCACAAAACTACAATCATGAAAAGAGGGGGGGGGAGAAGTGTTGCAAAGTTTAAGGGACAGGCATTCAAAATTCAGTTTCATAATCTGATTTATATGCCAGACGACAGATGATACAACCTTCCTTTCCCTCAGCTATGTAATGCTCTGTTTTTTTTCTCCCCAAGATGCAAAATAATTGGAAACACATTTTCTTCCACATCTATTCTATAGAAAGGCGTTTAATACATATTTCATTCTCTACCTTTGGCACATATACATACACACAGAGAGCAACAGACCTGTAACATTTGATTCAAGATACTAATCTAGTCCTTAAATTCAACTCTTGAAATGGAGACATGGTTAAGAGAAATAGGGATGTTTGATAACAAGTACGCCAGAGGGGGTATTCTGCCGGTTCTGACCGATTCGCCCGAACTGGAAATCACGGTTGGCTCCGCCCACCTACCCCGGCTCTACGGCATCCCATTTAGGCCCTTTTTTTGGGCAAAGGGCATGTGCGGAAGGCGGAGCACATGGGCAGATGTGCACACGCTCACTCACATTTGCAAACAGGTAGGGAAGGTTAAGTGAATACCACCCCTGAAGTATGCATAGTGTACATAAATGTCTGCGTTTTGTGTGTAAGAGCCAGGGAAGGGAAAGATACTGCTGCTTTTAAGGTTCATAGTTTTCACTGCCTAGTGCAAACTTTGTCACTTGCTCAGGATTTATAGGAAGTCTTCTTCTCTCCAGCATAAGCATTCTGTGAGGCTGAATGGGCTGACAAAAGAGATGCAATACAATACAATAGCAGAGTTGGAAGGGACCTCGGAGGTCTTCTAGTCCAACCCTCTGCCTAGGCAGGAAACCCTATACCGTTCCAGACAAATGGCTATCCAACATCTTCTTAAAGACTTGCAGTGTTGGGGCATTCACAACTTCTGGAGGCAAGCTGTTCCACTGATTAATTGTTTAACTATCAGGAAATTTTCCCTTAGTTCTAAGTTGCTTCTCTCCTTGATTAGTTTCCACCCATTGCTTCTTGTTCTACACTCAGGTGCCTTGGAGAATAGTTTGACTCTCTCTTCTTTGTGGCAACCCCTGAGATATTGGAACACTGCTATCATGTCTCCCCTAGTCCTTCTTTTTATTAAACTAAACATACCCAGTTCCTGCAACTGTTCTGTATACATTTTAGCCTCCAGTCCCCTAATCATCTTTGTTGCTCTTCTCTGCATTCTTTCTAGAGTCTCCATATCTTTTCTACATCGTGGCGACCAGATCCTCCAAGTGAGCTTCCTTGATGGAGTGTGAACACGAACCTGGGTGGTTTCTGTCTTAGTTCAACCCTTCAACCACTACATCATGTGAGCTGTTTGTTCAGCAAGCTCTGCACTGAATTAACATAATTCAAATCAATATAAAATTCTTAGCATCCCCAGTGAAATATAAAGGAGAATGCAAGCCTGAATATATTCGAGGGGAGGATTGAAGAAGAAAACCATACCTTAAATAGCTCATAAGAAATCTTTGATGTTAAGATCTGCTAGTGGGTCCTTTGATGGAGGCTTCTTGGGACTCTGGGTGGCGGGTGTTGGACTTGGAGAAACCTTAATAGTTTTCATTATTCCAGAGGGATAAGAGCACAAAAGAAAAAAAAATACAAGTATTGCGATCCATCTCTAACCAAAATTAATATGCACTTCACAAATATGGCCTTCTGCTATGTCCCATTGAATGAATACGAGAACTATTGTGATGTTCAATATATAAATTAATAAATAAAAACTGAAATAAAATCGCTTGATCATGTTATCCTATCTCTTTGAGGAAGGTGAGAGGTTTAGAAGTATGAAATATAAACAAATACATTTGAACTTTCACTGGGAGCAGGAATCATTTCTGGACCAGTGGCATACTTTTAATAGTTAAAGCAGCTTAAGAAGTAGGTTTTTTTTTAAAAAAAAGTATTAAAAATTAAAAACTAAACAATTACACAAAATCCATATTGCAACTTTGAAAAGTCTTGATAGCATAAACTGAAAACAATAACATGTCACACTAGAATGCCTTCCAGAAATAAAAAGGAAATAAATTAGAACGTTGTCCTATATGACTTAACAAAAACAAAATTTCTGTTTTCTCCAAAACCAGGCAAGTTCTCACTTGTGCACCAGGTCCTGCAGCTGCTCCAAATGGTGGCCTCATCATTGGTTGTCCATACATAAGAGGCTGCTGTGGCATCATCCCAACACCAGCTCCAGGAGGCTGCTGGAAATGATTTGAGAAGAAATAATGTCTAAGAGATGCCGTTTTTTTTTAAACAAAAACCCTCTTGATAAAATAGGCATGTTTCGTTGGTGTGCGCGCGCACGTATTTTAGGTGTCTTTTCAGATGTCAACCCATTTCCACCTATATGCATTCTCAGAGTAGAGTACATTAACTTAAGATGTCAGCTGGAAATTCCAGCAACTGGGCTGTGAACATTGCATCAGAAGAATACATCATTCAGTACACAATATATTGCATACATTTTTTCCCCAGAAAGAGATAACATATAATGGACATTTTTCCTGGGGGGAAAAAGCATATATTTTGGCCACAATGTTCAGAAAATAAGCTTCTGGAGATAAATCCTTAAAATGTAGTTGGGAAAAAGAATACTATTTTCCAGGAAGAACTACAGTGGTATCTTCAGTACAGAGGTGGGTTCCTACCAGTTCACACCTATTCGGTAGAACCGGTTCATCAAATCTACCGAACCGGTTAGAAGAAGTCCCACCAGTGGACCCGGAAAGCAGGCCAGACCTACAGAAGAGGTTCCAAAAATTTTTGAAACCCACCACTNCCATGGTAACGGCTTCAAAGTACTCCACAAAGGGGCTGTTAGATATCAGTTCTAACTAACAGAGGGGCTCCCTCTGGTAAGGAAGAAAATCCAACATTGGAAATTTTGTTTGGTCCGGACATTTCCCCCCTATAAATAAATACCCTGGCAATCAGTGGTGGGTTCTGTGTGGTACAGCCCAGTACGGGCGTACTAGTGGTAGCTTGGAGCAGTGGCCACCGTACCAGAACGGTGGGCTGTTTGGTCCACCCACCTGCCCATGTTTCTTACCGCTTTTTGAGGCAAATGGGCCAATTGCGCACGATAGCGTACGGCGCTTGCGCGATCTCCACCGAACAGCTGAGTGTTGCTGGCCAGTGGCATGCACATGCGTGCGCAGCGCACATGCCCGCCGAGGATGCCCGACCCCATCGCAGTGTACCAGTTGCGATGGGATCCAGAACCCACTACTGCTGGCAACGCCGTGTTATCGGCTAGTAATGATATAAAAATGATGTATTCTTCTCTCCTTTTCCCAGGCTAATGGGTAGAAAACAGCTCCAGGAAGACCCATTGTTCTTAGGGAACTGATAGCTATATGTTAGATTAACACAAGAGCCTATTGCCCTTCTTAGGTTTTGGATTACAATTTTTATGGTGCATTTCTATGCGCCATTTGGAAACTTTGGTTTGCTCACCTCTGATATTTAGCCCATGTTTCCTTTTCGTTTGATACTGACCTTTTACATGCAAATCTATTCCAAACTATTATCTCTTCTGGGATTATTTTGTTTTGGTGCCTATTTAAAATATGCCTTTTATTGGAATAGATATTAGAATAGAGATTGGAATAGAGATAGATTCTCAGCAAAATGTCACCAGGATTAAATCAGAAAGGTTGCCTGGCATGCACTTCACTCCTAGGTACAGTATATATCATCACAAAGCAAATGAGATGCTTGGCTTGAGAATAGAGGAAAAGACATGCCACATGATTATTGATTTTACTGGGTTCCGTGCTCTGTGAGAACACTTTAAATAAGATAATACCAACTAATTCTAATTCTGGTAGAACGTGTCACCAACGTGAATCACTTTTACACTGACACTCTCCATCCAATAATCCATTTTCAGATAAACGTTGACAGCTGAAAACGTGTTCAGGCACATGTCAAATAAAAGAAATCCAGTTCCAAGAGAACAAGCCTCAATGGTGCAAAAGAAATGTGTATTTTTTGGTCAGGTTTTTCTACACTGCTAGCATGCTAAAAGGAGACTGTCCGGAATATAAAATGGGAAATATTTCTTTCCATCACCTTGGTCCGTTTAGAAGGTAATAACGGCACGTGGGCTGAGATTTTGTTTAGCAGGCATCTGCATTTTTCAGCTCACATTTTGGGATCCCAGCCCTAATGTAGGCTCCTTCCACACATC